TTCAGGCCTCCAGGACTGTGGGCAAATAAATGAGTGTTGTTTTCAGCCACCAAGTATGTGGTGAGTTGTTAATCGCCCCAGGAAACTAATACACAGATGCCCCCTGGCCCACCAGGCCGCCGGGCTCAGGCTGGACCCTCAGCTGCCTCACCGCCCTGCTGTGGGCGGTTCCCAAGGGCCAGCTCGGGGATCCGTGTGGGTGGCGGGTGGGGCCAGCCTGAGTGAGTCCTGCTTGACCATTATGCTCAGGAACCAGAGGCGAGTCCCTTGGCCTCCTTGGTGGGGAAATGGAGACACAACGAGACACACTGTGCTGGGTAACTGGGGATGTACCTCTGAATTAGAAATCTTGGGGTGCATGGGAAGAAGCTACCACCACTGTGTAGGCTCATGGGAAGCCAGGGACAGGTCCCCCCAACCACTGTAGGCCAGAGCGGGGGTCGGGGTGTTTACAGATGAAGAGAACCAGGAAGGGGCAGGCGGACCACTGGGCGCTGCTTCCGCCTCCTCCTGGCCTCGGGCTCCGCTCTGGCCTGCCTGACGCCAGCCTGTCTGCGTGGTGGACGGTGCCCGGGGTGGCTCCCAACACCCACCCACGTGGATCACCTGGGCCAAGGACCCAGTGACCCCAGTTTGGAGGGGTTCACGCCAGGCTGTTCTTGCTCAGGAGGAGAGCAGTCCCCACACCCAATGTTCATTGAAGAAAGTGCGACTCCGGTCCCCACAGGGAGTGGCAGTCTGACCTCGGGCCTCCTGGGAGCCCCGGACAAGCGCAGGCCCCGTGGTCCGAGCGGTAGGGCCGCCCTGAGGACCGCCCGGCTTCTCCCACCTCCCCCTGGCATAACCACGCCTGCTCTTGCGAGACCCCGTCCCCAAGTTTCAAAGGGACAAGACGACCAACGAGAACACCCTGGCTCAGCCCCCCCGACCCCCCCAAACACACACACACACACACACACACACACACACACACAACCACTTAGGAAACTTGACTGAGTTCTCAGCTGCCGCGCATCCTCTCCTCAGGGCGCCCGTCCCCACCGGCAGAGGCGGCTTTCTTTGCCGGAGGGGACAGCGCAGGGGCCACCGCAGCCACGTGCGGGCCGAGGACAAGTGGGAGACGTGTGCTGACTCAGGCCGGGGAGGGGCCGACACGGGTCTCCTGGGGTTTAATCTGGAAGAAGCTGGTCAGCTGTGTCCCTGTTCTCCTCGCCCACCTTGTGCTCTGTCCCCGCCCACCGTGCGCTCTGTCCCCGCCCACC